TAGGTAAGTTTGAAATTCCAAAACAAAGGCTGGGTGGGTGTGGTGGCTCACATTTGTAATATCAGCACTTTGGGAGGCCAGGCGGGTGGATTGCTTGAGCTCAGGAGTTCGAGACCAGATTGGGCAACATGGTGAAACTCTATTTCTACTACAAACATTAGCCAGGCGTGGCGGCATGCACCTGTAGTCCTGGCTGCTGGGGGTGAAGAGGGCTGAGGTGGGAAAACGGCTTGAGCCTGGGAGGTCCAGGCTACGGTGAGCCGAGATGGCCCCAAAGGTACTGCAGCCTGGTTGAAAGTAAGACACTGTCTCAAAAAAACTTTTTTTTTTTTCAAAAACAAAAGGTTAAAAACTATAATAAATAAAATGAAAAATTCCATTCAAGGGTTACAAGTCAAGGAAATATCCCAGAAAGTTTAAAAAAGAGAAAAACTAAATATTATAGAATCTATTAGGTATAATACCCCATTGACAGAAATCGCAAAGCAGGCGAACAGAAAACAGAAGAAAAAGAGAGAAATTGTTCAAGAAATTAATACAAGAAAGTCACCAAGACCAGGGCCCAGGAAGTGGCCAGGACAAGGAATGCAAAGGCGTCACCAGGGACAGTAAGTCACTTCAGATGAGCAAGAAAACGCCGGAAAGCTCTCAGGGAAACATGAAGCAGCCTGGACTCTGGCTCAGGAATCCGGAGACATTCGTTTCTCAGCAGCAGCAGTGCCGGCAAGAGACGGGGGGCTAAGCCTTCAAAATCCAAGGCCAGCTCTCAACTCAAAATTCCATCCCTCACCAAACTGCCAGTTCCAGGGGGGTGAGCTCAAGGTACCTGCAGACATGCAAACAACACTCACTTGGGGGCTCACCCAAAGGATGCCTTCTTCTAAGGACTAGAGAAAATGGGGCCTGTCGAGGTGCTGGGTGCAGTTAACCTTCAGGAGAGCCCCAGGTGTTTTTGTGGGTCGGGACCAGGCATGGGGGACTCCCTGGGATGATTCCCTCCCACAGACCAAGCAGACACATGGGTTAGGCCAACCACTGTCCTTCCCTGGTCATGTCGTGACCCGAGCATGTGATGTTGGATTAGATGAGGAAAAAATGCTCTCCCCCTGCAGAGTCACCTCCTGGGTCTGTCTGCTGTCACCGCACCCCCACCCCAGACCTTCCTGTGGCTCCCCACAGCCCCGGAAGAAGCGTGACTGCCCCGGTGTGGGACTGGACACCCCCTGCCTGGCACTGCCCCCTTCCTTTACAGGAGCAAGTCCAGCCCCAAACAACCTGGCCCCTTGGGGCACAACTCTAGGGAGGCCCCTGCCCGACCTGGCCCAGCCCTGGGAGAGCTGGAGAAGCCTCTGTCCCAGCAGGCACCTGTGAGGCTGAGTGCCACCCCTCCAGCCCTGGAGCCACCTTTTCCTTCTGTGTGGCCTCCAACCAGCCTCTCCACCCCTCGCTTTCATTTTCTGGGAAATGGCAGTTAACAGGGACAATCCACTGGGGGGGTCAGAGCGCCGGAAAAATGCCCCACACCCAGGGCCAGGGTCCTCGTGCTGGGGGCCCTCTGTGGGCACCTTCTGTCCCTGGTTGCAGGAGGGACCCCAGACATCTGGGGTGAGTTCGAGTGGAGGAACAGACCACCCCATCACCCACTGCCCTGGGTGACCCCATCCCACCTTCCTGCGTCAGCCTTGGTGGAGGGCAGCCCTGCTTCCGTCACTGTTGAAGGTGCTGTGGTGACTCAGCGGCTGGCTTTGCCCAGTGACAGTAGGGGCGGGGGTCCCTCCTGGCGCTCCCGGTGAGTCGGGGCTCCCGCAAGCCTGCAGGTGCGGCTTCGGAGCGATAGCAGGACCCACCTGGTGGCCCACGTGGGAACAACACCGGCTGGCTATTCCCAGCCCTCCCTCGGGGCCACGCCAGGGGCGCCACCTCCCGGCCCCAGGGGTGCTTCCCCACCGCCAGCCAGGAGATGAAACCCAGGAGCACCCTGGGGCCAGGAAAGGCCGAGGGGGAGGGGGCGCAGCAGCTCAGGGTGGCAGGTCCGATGCTGCGAGGGGTGCGAGACTTGCAGCCAGGCTGGACCGCCATCCTGCACCAGGCGAGGGCTGCAGCCTGGGCTCACCTTGCCCGAAGGCAGACCCGCTTCCCAGGCCAGGGCTGGCGGGGCGTGATGCAGTGCTGTCCCCCAGCCAGCCCGCCCTACTGTGCCCACCCCCTCGGTGCGCTGGGGAAGGAGGGCTTGGTCAACGCTCGGGGGTGGACCAAGTCTGGGGTGGACCCTGGCATCTTCCATTCTGCGCATACCAGAAGCAGCTGTTGGAATACAGCGCCCAGAGCGGTGGCCTCTCGCCCTCGTCCTGCCCTGAGCCTTCTCTGTCTTCCGCGTGGGGGGCCCTAACCTAGTCGCTCTGCAGAGCTCCTTGGGCAAACTGCAGGCCAGAGCAGGAGGTGCTGGATGGGTTAAACAGGCTTCCCCCACCCTGGTCTCCTGCACACTCTGGACAAGGCAGCCGCTTCCTGCCCTGCCTGCCAAAGAGAGCTGGAGGAGCCCACCAGCTGGGGGGCAGGAAGAGTCAGTGAAGAAAGCCAGAAAGACTCCCCCCAGCCCAGTCTGGCTTCATAGCTCCTTCCACACTTTGGAGATAGGAAGCAGTTCGGAATCTGCCTGGCTTCGTCTCTCCCCCTCCCTCCTCCAGACCGGGAACCCCTCCCTCCTCCAGGCCGGGAACTCCTTCCTCTGCAGTCCACCCCTACTTGGGCTTCCTGCACACGCAGCTGCTGGGGGTACGGGAGCTATGCCAGGTGGACGCGCCAGCTTCACCATGGAGAACAAGGATGCTGTGCCCCAAGAACCAGTGCTCTAGGGCAGAGATGGTGACTCAAGCTAATAGTCAATGGGAACTCATGGGAGGTCGCGGGTGGCATGGGGGCCACCAGTGGGAAGAGCTTTGGGAACAGAGGAACAGCCAGGGTGTGGTCAGGGTGGGGAAGGGGTGGAAGACCTCCAGGACTGCAGGAAGGGCTTGGATTCTATCCCGGAGCAGCGGGGATTTGAACCCTGGGAAGTGATTGCGGAGGCCAAGGCCAAGGCCCTGGGAATGAGAAGGGTCAGAGAACAGGTGCTGCCAGTGTGCAGGCAGGGCCACAGTGTGCAGGCAGGGCCACAGGGTGCAGGCTGTGGCCTGGGAGGGTGGTATCTGGCCTTAGCCCCGTGCTGGGGGTGGGGGCCCCTGGGTTTCATCCTGGTTTCTGGCTCCTCCCCTGCAGTCTGTGACCTCAGCTAGGAACCACCCTGAGGGGAAACTTGCTTCAGGCAGTGCTGCCTCTGGGGAGGAAGGGGTGGGGCCCACAATGACCAGGTGGAGACCAGACACTCCCCACTCCGTGTGGCTCTGGAGGGCCAGTGGGGACCAAGGCCTGGGGAAAAAAGCCTTTTTCTCTAGGCCCAGCAGAGGGTCACAGCCGGGCCTGGGGCTATGCCCTTGGAAAGAGTGAGGATTGAGTGCCCAGGTCCCAGACCTGACACATGACACACAGAGGTGCTGGGCATGTCTTACTCATCACTGAAAACTGAACCCTTGGATGTCAGGCAAGAGGCCCGGGGGGTTTGCTGGGCCACCTGGTGGCCTCCTCTCCCCAGACCTCTTGTCCACACAGGAGGGCAAGCAGCCTCAGAGCCCTTGATGGTCCACACACCTGACAAGAAATGGGGTACAGAGAGGTCACATGGCAGGCACAAGGGCTGAGCCGGGCCCAGAACCCAAGTGTCCGACTCCCAGCTCAGGGCTCTTCCTGGGCCTCCTTGGTTCCTGCTGCACAGCTGGGATGGGGAGCCTCAGGTAAACTGCAAGGGGTTCCTGTCTTCAGAAGGCCTGGAGCAGCAGGAGCGGGGCGGGCCGGGGCGTGCAGCTGAGGGACTCTTGGCCTTAGTGTCTCTGTGGACCCCAGCCCCTAACCGCCCCTCCAGAACCTTCTGATCTCCTAGGACGTGACCTTGCCTCTGCCTCACTGCCCTGACCCAGGAGACTGACTCAGCTTCCCTCCTGCAAAATGGCACCGTCTGGGACTGTCCTCCGGTGGTGAGAATTACACGACATATGCAGAGACCTGGTCTGGGACATCCTAGCACCAGAGAGCAGCACCTGGCCACTCACAGCCACCTGCCCAGTGATTCTGCAGAGCAGGGGCGGCAGTATGGCCAGCTGAATCTCCTGGGCTTCAGTCTGTGCGGTGGGGCAGGAGAACCAAGCCCCAAGCTGGGCACCAGCCAGGAGACAGAAGTGTAGGACCCTGGCCTCGTCCCTTCAGCCAAAACTCAGAGGCAGCCGGGCCGAGCTACAGGGAACCAGCCTCGCCCACCGGGACTGCCCGTAGGACCACTGTTCCTGAAGAGACGGAGCCCGCCCAGGCCCGGGAAAGAGCTTCAGGAAACAGCACCATCACTCTGCACTTGACCTGTCGGAAAGGGGGCGGGAGAACAGGGAAGTGGGCTGACAGTAAGTAACCTTTGGTTTCCTGGGATTTCTTTAAATTAACTTTCTATTACGGGATAACTTTAGAACTACAGAAAAGGAAGGTTCCCCAGTGCTCTATTCCCAGTGCCCCCAATGCTGGCATCTCACAGGGTCCTGGGACAACTGCCGTAACTGAGGAATGAACTTTGGTATTTACAGCCAAGCTCCAGGCTGTGGGGTTTGCTAGTTTTCCTTCTTCTGTTCAGGGTCCGTCGTTTTATTTACTGGGAAAAGATAAGACATTCCAGGCTGGGCGCAGTGGCTCATGCCTGTAATCCCAGCACTTTGGAAGGCCTGGATGGGCGGATCACTTGAGGTCAGGGGTTCCAGGCTGCTGACGAAAGCCTGTCTCTACCAAACATGCAAAAATTAGCCAGGTGTGGTGTTGCGTCCATGTGGTCTCAGCTACTTGGGAGGCGGAGACAGAGGTTGCAGTACGAGATGACACCACTGCACTCCAGCGTGGGCGACAGAGGGAGGGAAAGAAGGAAGAAAAGAAGGAAAGAAAGAAAAGACATTCCAGGCAGGTGGAGTGACAGAGACAAAGGCCACGGGTGGGGACCCATGCCTAAGCCCGTGTCTGACCAGTAGCAGCTCTCGGCCAGGTGGGAGGCGGTGGGGGCTGGGGGGGAAATGTCAACAGTGTGGAGATGACCCACAGTCCGTGGGCTGACCCGGCGTAGGGGGAAGTACAGGGCAAGGACCCAGAGTTGGGGCAGTGCCAGGCCCTGGGGGGTGCAGGCCCTGGGTTAAGTCTCAGCTCTGCCACACCTCCCAGCTCAAGCCACCTCCCTGGGCCGCGGTTCTCATATCCACCAAATGTGCCGAAACTGAAACAAGACATAACAAGGTCATAATAAAAAACCACTTTTCACATTGCTGATGGTATATATATATAAAAAAAAAAGCCACCAAAGCCAGCACTGAACTAGGTAAGAGAAATCACATCGCTTCTCCGAGCCCCAGGTCTGCGTTCCTGAAACGTGAAGGACACGCCCACCTCTGGCGGAAGCGCCGCCGCGGACTCTCCCAGCTCCGGGGGCCGCCCAGCTCCCCCCAGCTCCCCCCAGCTCCCCCCAGCTCCCCCCAGCTCCCCCCAGCCCCGTCCATGCAGTCCCCTCTCGGCTCCGTTCCAGAAGGGTGGCGGCCGCCCTGCGCCACCGATTTCCCAGAGCATAACCCAGGACGGCCCCGGAGCGACCTTGGGCGAGGCGCAGCTGCAAAGCAGAAAATCACAGCGCGCGGTCCACCCCGTGTCCCGCGGGCTCCAGGCCTCGCCCGGCCCGCTCCGGCTGCCCGCGCACTTCCCAGGGCCAAGCCCGGCGTCCCCCGCCGCCCTCGGCTCCGGACAGGCTCCGAGGCCCCCACGCCCGGCTCCCGCCCTGCCCCCTGGGAGGCGCCGGGCCGCTCCCCGCGCCCCGGGGCTGCTCCGCCGCCGCCGCGTTGTCCCGCGCGCCAATCGGCGGCCTCCTTGACTAAATAAGGCCAGCAGCGCCGGGCCGGCGGCCCCCGTCCGTTACTTCCGCCCCCCGCCCGCCGTGACTCAGGCCCCGCGGCGGGCGGGGACGGCGCTGCCCAGGGCCGGGCTTCCCGGCGGGGCGGGCGGGGCTCCGGCAGCGCCGAAATCGCCAAATATGGCCGCGCCGCCGCCCCGCGCCCCGCACCTGGGCCGCACCTTTGCCCCGCCGCGTGACGCGACCGCGGAAGAGGAAGTCGCTTCCCGCCCCGGCCCGCGGCGGCGCCCACGCCCCGCGGCTCAGGCCGTGCCGGGGGGCGGGGAGTCCAGGGGTCTCGAGGCCCTGGCGGTCCCGGGTCCGCAACGTGGGGAAGAAGGGGGGTCGCGCCTTTCCGCACTCCCAGACAAAGGAGCTTCAGAGGAGGCCGGAGGCCCGGGTCCCCCGCCGGCGCCGAGCGGAACGTGCGGAGGGCGGGCGCAGGGCAGACGAGCCTGTGGCTACCGCCCAGCCGCCCCGAGTCCCTCGGTGTGTGGCGTCGCATGTTGGGACCCCCAAGTGGCGTCCCCATCGGGGGGTCGAGCAGGCTGCGGTTCTTTTGCTCAGGGACCCGAATCCCGGTGTGTTTGTTGGGGGCCCAGCCCCGGCTTCACCCCGGGACGGCACACACCTGAGAGGCTTGCCCGGGCCCCCGGAGTCTGCGCCTGGGGGGCTCAGCACCCCCGGAGGGCCTGGGACACGGGGGCCTGAGGCACAGGTCTCGGGGTCCGGGGTGACTGCAGCCCGCAGGTGAGCTGCGCCGGCCGCCTGGCCCTGACTCGCTGTCCTCCCTCCCAGACACGGGGTCTGGAGCTCACTTTTCGGGGCTCAGGGCGCGGGACTCCGCGTGGGGACCCCGGCCCCGCCCCCCAGCCTGCGGGGTCCAGCCGAACGGCTGCGACCTTGGCCGGGTCGTCGCCTCACTGCGCGGCCCCACTGCCCCTCCGTGGCCGGCGCCCTCAGCCTGAAAATTCCACGGCGCACACGGAAACCGTGGTGCCGGGAGCCCCTCGGGGTGTCACCGAAGCGCCCGCGCCAGCAGGTGCGGCCAGGCCGGTGCCGGGATGACAGGGAGTCTCCCCGCGGGGCGTGCGCGCCCCGGACCCGCCTGTGCCCAAACCCACGCCAGTCCTGACCCCTGCCCTTAACTGGCCTCGAAAACAGAGAAGGGGATCCCCCCGGCCTCCCCAGAATGGGGAGCCGACCTTCAAGGAAGTCAGGATTCCGGTCTCTACCTCAGTTTCCCTATAATGTCTACAGGTGACCAGCGTGAAACAAAGGCCCCGCTGCGCACCGCCCCCTCAGCAGATAAGGGGGCGGGGTGGCCCCAACCCGGAGCGTGCGCCCGGGGACAATCGGGCCTGGGATTTGAGGGGCAGGGATGTGTCGGCTCGGGTAGAAAGGTGCATCGGTCTCCAAACCCACGGAGACCCGGGGCAGGGCGCCCCGTGGGGCCACCTGCGGGGTAGGGGCTGCGCTCGGGGACTGGAAGCTCCTTCCTACGGTGACTGGGGCGAGGTGAGGGCTCCCCCGCGCCCAAAAACGCCGAGCGCCGGGACCCCCGCCGTGCCCCGCCCCCAGCCCGGCCCGGGCGTGGAGCCCGAGCAGAAAGCCCGCAGGGGACGTCCCAGGGAGCAAAGCCCCGCAGCGTGGCCCGGATCGCGGGGACCCACCCCAGCTCCCGCACGGCCCCGCCCCGGGTCAGGCAGTTTCGGGGCGCAGCCCGGCCCTCCCCACAGCACGGCAGTCCCGGGGCGCGGCCAGGCCCGTCAGCCCTTCGGCCTACCCAGCGACCCCGGGAGGGCGCCCCCACCCAGCCCCGCCCGCCAGCCAGCCAGCCAGCCAGCCAGCCAGCCCGCGCAGGGTCGCGAGCGCGCGGGGGTGGTGCGGGCGGGGCCGTTGGGAGGCGGCGCGGGCTGGGGGCGGGGCGGCCCGGGGCCCCACGTGACCCGGCCGGGCTGGCCAATCAGAGCCCGGCTTTCGGAAAGATCGCCATATATGGACATGTTCTGGGGCCGCGCGCGCCGCCGGGCCGCGCGGGCGCGCCGCTGCCTCTTAAAAAGCGGCGGGGGAGGCCGCGGTCGGTCTCAGTCGCCGCTGCCAGCCCGCGTGCAGTGTTCTCTCGCCGCTCCGCTGCCCTGCTCCTCCGCCGGTAAGCGCCCCCCGCGGACCCGAGGAGGACGTCTCTGGTCGTCGCTCCTCGACCCTAACGGGCCCCGCTTTCCGCCGCGGAGATCTCGCCGCGTCGTTTTCGGGAACAAAAGGCGGGCCCCGGCTGGGTGGGCCACGCGGACAGGGTCTGGCGGACGCCGTAGGTTTAGGGCGGGGCCCGGCCGCAGTGCGGAGTCCCGGGCGGTGGGCGTTACGTAAAAGGCTCGGGCGCCGGTTCCAGGCGGTTGCGGTCTTCGAGGTTTCGGCTTCCGGGGTTCGGTCTTGGTTGGCTCTCGGTGGGGGGGCTGTTTTCGAGCGGGGCTCGCCTGAGTCCGTCGCTTTGCTGGCAGGTCGCAATGGAAGAAGAAATTGCTGCGCTCGTCATCGACAATGGTTCTGGCATGTGCAAAGCTGGCTTTGCTGGGGACGACGCCCCCCGAGCCGTGTTTCCCTCCATTGTCGGGCGCCCTCGGCACCAGGTGAGTGGAGGGCGCCACGGGGTTCCTGGGTTCGGCGCTGCGGGGTGGGCTCGGGGGCCGCGGTGAGCCTGATGGCCACTCCCTGCAGGGCGTGATGGTTGGCATGGGCCAGAAGGACTCCTACGTGGGCGACGAGGCCCAGAGCAAGCGCGGTATCCTGACCCTGAAGTACCCCATCGAGCACGGCATTGTCACCAATTGGGATGACATGGAGAAAATCTGGCACCACACTTTCTACAACGAGCTGCGTGTGGCCCCGGAGGAGCACCCTGTGCTGCTGACCGAGGCCCCCCTGAACCCCAAGGCTAACAGAGAGAAGATGACTCAGGTGAGGCTCGGCGATGCCGCTGCTCTCGTCCGTTTTCCTAGTCATTTTCTGCCCAGCTTGATTTCTGACATTCAAGTGTTTCTTTCGCTGTTCCAGGCTCTGTTCCTCTCCCGGCATTTCCTCCCTGAAGCCTCCAGGTTTCTCATTTGGTTTCTGCCTGCGTTCTTTTCTTTTCTCCACACATCACACTGGCATGCAGCATGTTGTGGCGTGTGAGCATGGGGTGGTCGCGGGTCCTTGCCCCTGACTAAGCCGTCTGTCTGTCCCTCCCTTCAGATCATGTTTGAGACCTTCAACACCCCGGCCATGTACGTGGCTATCCAGGCCGTGCTGTCCCTCTACGCCTCTGGGCGCACCACTGGCATTGTCATGGACTCTGGAGACGGGGTCACCCACACGGTGCCCATTTACGAGGGCTATGCCCTTCCCCACGCTATTCTGCGTCTGGACCTGGCTGGCCGGGACCTGACCGACTACCTCATGAAGATCCTCACCGAGCGCGGGTACAGCTTCACCACCACGGCCGAGCGGGAGATCGTCCGCGACATCAAGGAGAAGCTGTGCTACGTCGCCCTGGACTTCGAGCAGGAGATGGCCACAGCCGCATCCTCCTCCTCTCTGGAGAAGAGCTACGAGCTGCCCGATGGCCAGGTCATCACCATTGGTAACGAGCGGTTTCGGTGTCCGGAGGCGCTGTTCCAGCCTTCCTTTCTCGGTAGGTGTTGAGGCTAAGGGTTTCTGGTCTTTGGTTCTGGGCGACACAGCACCACTAAGGGAGGGCTTTGTCCCCTAGGCATGGAGTCTTGTGGCATTCACGAGACCACCTTCAACTCCATCATGAAGTGTGACGTGGACATCCGTAAAGACCTGTACGCCAACACTGTGCTGTCTGGTGGCACCACCATGTACCCAGGCATTGCCGACAGGATGCAGAAGGAGATCACTGCCCTGGCTCCCAGCACCATGAAGATCAAGGTGAGTTGAGGGGTTGGTGGCCCTTGGCCTGGCTCTGGATACCTGGCTGGGGATGCTGTGAACTCAAGCCATGCTTGGCTGTCTTTGCAGATCATTGCACCCCCAGAGCGTAAGTACTCCGTGTGGATCGGCGGCTCCATCCTGGCCTCACTGTCCACCTTCCAGCAGATGTGGATTAGCAAGCAGGAGTACGATGAGTCTGGCCCCTCCATCGTCCACCGCAAATGCTTCTAAATGGACTGCGAGCAGATGCGTAGCATTTGCTGCATGGGTTAATTCGGAAGTATAAATTTGCCCCTGGCAAATGCACACACCTCATGCTAGCCTCATGAAACTGGAATAAGCCTTCGAAAAGAAATTGTCCTTGAAGCTTGTTTCTGATATCAGCACTGGATTGTAGAACTTGTTGCTGATTTTGACCTTGTATTCAAGTTAACTGTTCTCCTTGTTATTTGTTTAATACCCTGTACATATCTTTGATTTCAACCTTTAGTACATGTGGCTTGGTCACTTCGTGGCTGAGGTAAAAACGTGCTTGTGGGCAGACAAGTCTGGCTTGGTGAGTCTGCGTGGCCAGCAGTTTCCGATCTGTGCAGGGTATTGATGTGTCAGGGCCGAGTGTTCTGGGATTGCTCCAGAG